CATGGCTATATTCGTCTCGTATTGGACCATCGTGTATCTTTATACGTGCGAATCGCTGTGATGGTCAGAATCAGAGATCCGATACAGGTTGTCGAGGGGGAAGCCGCCACCAGCCGTGTCGGCGGGCGATGCCCCGCGGGCCGCAACCCCGCCCGCCCTCAACTCAATCCATACATACGATCATGCACTCGTGCATACACTATTTACTTCACGTGCGGAGGCGGTCCTCGATGACCTGCTCAACTTTGCGTAAAGAAATTTCTTGTCCTCATATTAGCATCTACCTAGGTATGATCCAGCAGTCAACATTCTCGCGCTTGGCTTCGCGACAGTCGGCTTCTTGTTTCTCGCTGATAAATCCAGACGCGATAGCCTGCACGATGGCTCACTAGCATCTCACCCTGGCGCACCGATCTTGACTATCGGAGTGTGTATCATGCAAAGTCTTACTTTCGGCTGGGTCCTCTGGAATCGATAAATTCAGTGGACATGGGAAAAGAACTCACCGGTTCGAGGGTGATAAGACTCGCCAAATATCAGTGATCAAAGTGAGTGGTGTTAGAACGCACGTACTGAAACATCCGACAGGCTTTGCAAATTCTCACAAGCCTTACTACGTACATATCACGAAGCAGTGATATATGAAAGCATCGATCCGATTGCGATATATGAATCAAGCACGATAGGAGGGCTTCATTTCTCAATTTGATGTTAACCTCCTGTCCGTCTATACCCTATAGCAAGACCACTTGTCCCATCCACCATCGCACCAAGCATATACGTTGCTGCCGTACTGCCTCGTACATGCTGCAGGAGTGTCGACATTCAAGCTTACACCGACGCCCCAGCCTTCAGCTGAGCATCGCCAGTCGTTGCATGAATTTCCGACCCGGCCAGCAGTCAAAGGCGCATCATACTGCTCACGGCAGGCTCGGGGCATGTCTATGCCGCCGAGTCTCTGGCCAGCTGCCGCTGCAGCAGCAGCTGGGGCGACGAGCGCTGCTGGGGCGCCAGATGCTGGCACGGCAAGGAGGCCGAAGCTGATGATGGCACCGAGAACTGTAGTGTGGGTGACCATCTTGCTGACTGTACACGAGCGAGTTGAAGTCAGTAATCAGAGAGATAGGTTTCTATGTCTCAATTGGGGGAAAGGGAAGATCTCAGTACTGCAACATACCTAGGTATTCGATGAAGACTGATGCGAACAGGTAGATTGTGTCTGGGTCTTGAAATTTGTAGAATTGTTGCTGTGTGCTCAGTGAGTGGGTGACTATAGACGGGAGCTATTCAAGGTGAAGAAGGGTAGTTTTTATAGTAATTTGCTCCTGCTTCGACCATGCGCCTTCATGTAGGTCGTCCAGGCATATTGATTACTAGCCACGTCACAGCTGTCGACCAGATCATCTTACTTGTACGCTAGACGTTGGAAGGGAGGGGAAGGGGGTGGGTCTATAATCGTTTATGCTACTATGCGGCGCAGCTTGGTGTAGCCGAAGTAGTGATAAGCAGCCGCAAACATATGTGGTGGCAAGGCTCTGGATCTTAGAGCATCTTGTATTCCAGATTCGGACGTTATACATCTACCACTATGGGCCCGCATCACCTATTAACTCTTTCTAGTCCCCTTACACACCCCGCCCTGAACCCCATCCCTTCCATTAGTCCGCGCACATTCTAGCCTTCTGCTGCCAAACAGTGCACATACGGCAAATTGGCGTATGTCATCAGCCCTGCAAACTTTGTGTGGAAGTCTCGCTTACGTTCGCGTTCTTCAAATTTGGAAACGCGACAAACCGGAATGAAGACTGCGAATGAAGACTCGCCAAGTGACCAATACATAACTCGTGAATATGGATGTGTTTTAGCATCCGAAAGACCTTGTATAGTCCTCCTTTGACACGGATCATGAAACAGTGTAACGTAAAGCCATCAACTCGAAAGCGACATATCAACCACAAGTGACAGGAAGAACGTGAATTTACATATCTCCGTCTATGCCTTGTAGCAGCCCCAACTGAGCGCATCCCCATTGCACCGAGCATACACTCCAGCACCATATTGATTAACGCATGCCCGAGGAGTGTTGATACCCGTCTGGAAATTAGTGTACGCATCCCAGCACTTCCAACCGTTGCATGTGCTATCAAACCGAAGAGCTCTCCACTGAGGTCCGATCTCCTTTATACAATAGGCGTCCATGTTAATGCCCTAAATCATCGATGTCTGAAGTTAGTGTTTGTCTCACCAAGATTGCTTAAATGGGAGAATTTACCCCCAGGTATTCGCCTGCTGCTGCTGCGGCAGTGGCGGGTTCGGCAAGGGGTGCAGGAGCAGCAAGAGCTACAGGATCGGCAACTGCCGCTGGAGCGGCAACTGTTGGCGCAGCGAAGAGACCGAAGCTGATGATTGCGCGGAGAAGAGTGGTGTGAGTGACCATGTTGGCGGGTGCGTTCTAAGTGAAATTAGTCATCGTAAAGGTGAGCGTATATCATTGAAGTTTATATATCGTAGATCGTGCTATAGGAAGGGACTCGTTACTATGACATACTTGATGAAGATCGCTGAGGACAGGCGTATGTTATCTAGCTCTTTCAATTTATGAAGGGTCTGTTGCGTGTTACAAGAATGAATGGGGATGGGGAAGAGCTGTTCGAGATGAAGAAGAGCCGTTCTTATAGCAATTACCTCATCTTTGAACATACGCTTCTATTAGGTCGTCAGGGCGTAAGGCGTATCCTTTGTCGCCCGGCTCGAAGTATTGGACTAGGCTATCCTCATCGCAGGCTAAAGCTCTGGGGCGTAAGTTGAAGTGACATAGACCGGCATGCGATGCAGTCTGGTGGAGTGCCGTTCATGCTGACATGCAGCATAGCTTAGAAAGACAGGTGAGGTTATCGACGTGCGGCCCGATCCTGCGAAGCAAGTCTGCTGGAGCTAGATGCACGTTGTAGTAGATACCTGGGTAGTATGGAGACAGTACTGCTTATCTATCTGCTCTGGGCTTTGGCGTTGACAGATTGTCGAGCCTGGACGGAGGTGAACTCAGATGGGGAAGGTCTGAGGTTAGGCCCTCCGTAGGATTCGAGTGCGGGGCCAGCCGAGCACGCAGGGACTTACATACTAAGCGTTGGATTGGTTCTGTTAAATAGACTTTTCTGTCGATGTTAGCGAAGGCTGGTGAAGGATGCTCACTACAGCATCGTTTAAGGTTTGTGGTTAGGAAGTGTGCCGCTTGCATGGGAAAACCCACCAATCGTTGCTTGGGTCGCGACCTTACAGTAAAGCTCTGAAAATCTTCATATGTCGCGCAATAGAAGCGGACAGACTCCAATGACAGGCCACGTTTGAAAATCATCGCTAGGTTTCCATGTGTATCTCGTAGTGATGCAGAACGAAAGAAACTCCACGATGAAATTCGCAGGAGAAATTGTGGTTTACCGCTCGGACTGAAATCATCCGTCAAACAAGCAGATACGCTTTCTTTTTGCTCAATAAGTCCGTGCTGCCTCATGTATTACTCGAACTGATTGCGGCTAGGATCAGGCGCAGCGTATCCTCTCCTGAAGAGGAAGCTCTGCAGCCTATCCTCAACTCTCGCAAACTACAATTCCGTTAGCCTTAAGGACATTATTTGCGACTCCGTCAAGTCATTATTTAGGAGGCGCTCTCTGAGCTGAAGCACTTACAAAGCCCCGTCCCTGTACTCCATCTCTGACCCATACTCCATATCCACCCATGAGGTTTGCCATCATGACGTCTGTAGACAGGCGGTCCCCTACTATTGCGATCTGATCTGGTCTGGTCACACCCGAGTCCGGATGCGCCCTGAAGTAAGCCATGACCTCTTCCTTGCAGCCAGGCTTCTTGGTGGTATGTCGCAGCACTTTGACACCGGTGTTGGCCTCCAAGATATCGGCCTGGGTATAGTTCTTATCGGATGATGTGCCAGCTGTGTTAGACACTATCAAGAGTTTTGAGCCTGGATAAGCGCGTCGCAGGCGCTGGAAATGATCCTAAAATGGTGATCAGTAACGTCCTGGGCAGAAAGAGGCGCGTACCAGTACTTCGTATGGCTTGTGAATCTCATCGGTGTGTGGGATAGCAAAACAATTGTCTTTGTCGAGCACTACAGCTTGGATGTCTACCTCTTTCTGCTCGTTGGCCCCATCCTTCCTAAAGGCTTTCGACAGGGGAATGGGTAGATGATTGAAGGTTGAGACTGTATGCTGCGGGAGACAAAGAGTCGGATTCCAAACCAGCCGGAAGACGTTTAGGGTGCCCGAGATGTTCATTTGGGATGCAGCGTGGTATGATTGCGATGGTGGAACGGGATGGTGACGCGCTTGTTGCGCGCTGCTTTTCCAGAGATGTTGTTTCCGACGGTTCCGATATCGTTCCGAGCAACTCTCGAGACCGACCGCTGCAACCAGTACCAGCGAACTCCGCTTAGCCTGATTATACGTTTATTCAGATCGAAGATGCAGAGTGGTATCAGTGTTCAACAGAGTTCCGGCAGTTTTCGCTGCGCTACAGGGGAGCGTACGGCTATGTCATCGCGAGGAGAGAATCTGGTATCGTAGACACGAGGAATACATATCACAGTATATGATAACGTGCCTGTATGGGATGGACGCAACTTGATAGGGTGTAGCTTGAACAGACATCGAGTTCTTGATGAGGAGCAGGCAGCAGAGAGCGATGGCATGATGACTAAGACATGGTCCAAGCTCAACCTCAACTTTCTGTAGACAGCGATATTAGCACCGCGCACGCGCTCTGCACCCACGACATCCAAGACTGCGCCGTGCACTGCTACCGAAGACCCCTGCGTACCGAGAAGGCGACGAACCCCACGAGATACAATCGCGCCCCGAGTGCGTTTTGCGACCACGACACGAAGTCTTCACTTGTTGCGATCTATCACCATCCTACGGCTTCGAACGCGCCAAGGACTCAGCTAGTAATACCAGTCAATTTGGCCGAGAATCAATACAAGAAAAATGACGAGCACTATCGGTATTCCAATCAAGCTCCTCAACGAGGCAGCAGTACGTTCACCGCCAATCACTCTACCAGTACTTGAGCCTGCGCTAACAGGTCTCAGGGTCACATTGTCACGCTCGAGATCACATCTGGCGAAGTCTACCGCGGCAAGCTGATTGAAGGTATGTCCCCATACATCTATTAGCTCTTAGGCGTTCTGCTAACCAGCTACAGCCGAGGACAACATGAACGTACAGCTGAAAGACATTACTGTAACCGCCCGCGACGGCCGCGTCTCACATCTCGAACAAGTGTACATCCGAGGAAGTCATGTGCGGTACTTCATCGTCCCAGACATGTTGAGGTAAGATCCAATGCCTTATTGGAAGGAGACAGGCACTGACAGGTGACAGGAACGCACCCATGTTCCGATCGAGAGGCACAAGGGGCCGCGGTGTTGGTCTTGCTCGTGGAAGGGCCACAGTCAACAGGGCTAGGGCCAGCACCCGCGGCGGCGGTCGCTGAACAAGCTGAAAATTACGGGCGAAAAGACAACACAAGCAGAGAGCATGCTACCGGAAGCGCAGCAGCAGCGAGGACGCGCCATTTGGTGCGTGGACTAGACAATGGAGGGAAGGACAGGTATGCAACCAGATCGTTCTTGCTGGACATACGCTGAAAATTGGGATAGCCACAAATTTGATGATACCTTTGAATGGGATGAATGCACATTTTCACATCACCAAGAGTAGCCCGTGCTGAAAGAATGAACGGCGGCATTTGAAGTGAAAACGCAACCGGGCGTAGTCGCGAATGTCTGATAGTCCCTGCGGCAGGCGGGCGCCTACCCCACGTCCAAAGGCGAGACCCCCGAGAACTCCGCAACTCGACACTTTTTCAACCAACACAACATGGACATGGAGATCAAGAACCCACGGCGCATCCTCGCTATCGGTGCGCCGGGAGCAGGTGTACTCCCACTGCTGAAGGGTACTTGATACACCCTCTGCATTACGCGCATCTACTGACTTGGCTTAGAACTCACAGGGTCCGCCCCAGAGCAAACCTCCGAAACCACGGCCGGCCTTACCCACGAATGGCGTCTTGAGACCAAATACTACACCGCGAATCTTCCCATATGGGTCGATGAGCTCAGCAAAGTCGCGGAATGGCGCACCGAATTCACCAAGCCCGAAGCTCGTGAGGTCGTCACTGCGCTCGGTGCGTGGATATACTGCTTCAAGAAGCCAGTCGAAGCAAAGGATTTAGAAGTAATCAAAGAGACCATGCAGGCCGTTTCCGATGTCATCGAGCGTGCCTGTGGATACGGTGGTGACATGGTGTGTTTGGCTGTCGCGATGCCCCAATCCACAACACCTTACCTTGAGAAAAGCAATGAAGACTGGGAAGAACTGGCCATGGACTACGGCTTCGAATACGTCGACTCAGAGAAGAAGGGCAAGAATGAGTTTGGCGAGGCGACAGGAATACATAGAGTGCGGGAAGCGCTTGAGGCTGGGGAATGGGAAAGCATGGCGGGTTTGGGCTTGGGCGAGGATGACGACGGCTTTGAAGGCAGCTTCGCGGCAGAAGAGGCGGAGATGAACATGGAGCTGTTCGGCATGAAAGGCGCACTAGCCGGGTTCGACGACGATGAAGGTCAGGAACCTGGAGACAAAGAAGTCGAAGACCTGGAGGTCATGATGCAAAAGATGGTTGCGATCAAAGAAATGGGCGAGGGCATGGAAGAGGCCGAGCGAAAACGTTTCGCTGCAAAGGCAGTGAACGACCTGCTGAAAGATCTATGATACGGACATATCTGGACTGCCACAGACACTGCCGAGCACTATCGTAAATGCCTACCTACCAGCGACTATTTCAACTCTTCACCCCGAAACACAACAAAAACGGGAAATCCATCTCTCTCGCCGGCTTCCCATCCTCAGCATCAACCTCCTTCCGCAGAACAAAGGCTTCGTCAACCCTCACCTCATTAAACCCTGTCCCTAACAATAACTCTTCCATCTCGCTTTTCTTAATCCCATGCCTCTCTACACCCGGCCTCTTACTTATCGGATGAAACGGTACGGCCTCCGGTCCAAAGTCCTCATAATCCGTTAACGCGACCACACCTCCGGGGTTCAGACACTTGTGCATAGTCGCTAGGATCTCCGCCATCGAAGGGATATGATGCAGCGTCAGGTGGGAAACCACAAGATCGAATCGATACGAATAAGGTGGCGATGAAGCTTCTCCGCGATGGGTGGCAAGGAGCGCTGCTGCGCTTTGCAGCTCATGCGAGTCCGGGTTCGTTAGGAAGTGGTTTACTGAACAGAGGTTTGGGTGGTCTGTTGGAAGATCCGCAAGCTTGGTGTCGAAGGCGCTTATCATGCCATCTGCTGTGTCGACGCCGATGAGGCTGCGTACGTGTGGAGCTAGCATGAAGGAAAGGAGGCCAGTTCCGCAACCGATTTCTAGTACATCGAGATCTGTGATGCTCGTCAGTTCAAGAGCGTAGTGGGATGGTGGCATGATAATACCTTTGTTGCTTCCATCTTTGAATGCAGGCACGTATCGCTTGATGGCCTCGAGTGCTTTTGAAGTTGATTCTACATGCTTCTGATTCGAATCCCATTCTAGTGCTTCCTTGCTGAAGCGCGCGTTGTTGATCTCTTGGCTGGTCGTCATGACGTTGGTGATGTGAAAGTTAAAGGTGATGTGCTTTCGAGAAAGGACCGAAAATTACTAGTAGCAGCCACGCATGAACAAATGTGAAACGCAATGCTGGGGCGTGTCGTGATTAATACGGGTATGTTCTCGTGTATACGTAGAATGCTGTGCGGGGTTTGCGGGCATGATGCGGGGCGCTTCCGTCCTAGGACGACCGACAGTCGCGACTTCCTATAATCGTGTCGCGGGCTACAGATGATCGAGATTTTATTCCTCCAGCAATTTGGCGAGATCCTTTGGTTTGCCAACCGCTAGGGCCTGTATGGCAAATCAAGCAGTCAGAAGACCGAAGAGCTCAGCCTCCACGCAGGAGCGGCTGTGCATCGATGCCTTCTCCAACTGAACGCCCAGGCTGAGTCTCAGCCGGTTCGTTGTTGCCTCGCTCTTCCGTCTCAAATCTCTAAGATACCCCAAATTCGGATCTCATAAACGTAGCAGGCATATCGGCTTCTGGTATCCTCCACTCTGCCATGATCGAATGAGCGTTTCGAGCTTATTGCGGCACAACATTTTTGCACGAAAGAGCATGAGGAAATATGGCAGCCTTGGGTTACACACAGCTGGATCGAAGTAGAAAGACCATCCGCCTCCTCACTGTAGCACCTGGTGACCAACAAATTCGCTGCGAACTCACGCATGCTGATCTCGACGAGCGACCTTCGTTCATCGCCTTATCGTATACTTGGGATCAAGGCGGCGGACAAGACGAAATCGAATGCTGTGGCACAACTATACAAGTCGGAAAAAATCTCCGCAACTTCCTCCGTCGTTTCCGAGTGTGGGATGAAGGTCGCGGAAGTCGAATATGGATCGATGCGTTGTGTATGTACTAGATGCTGTATGATAGATGACGAGTGTCACATAGCTGATTGAGAATTGAAGGCATCAACCAAAATGACGTCCATGAACGCAATCATCAAGTCGGCCAGATGCACGCGTTGTTCTCGACCGCTAGATCTACAATTGCGTGGTTAGGCGAAATGAGTAGCAACTCAAATCTGGTCTACTCAGCTATGTTCGCTACGCGATATTCCCTCATATCTGCTGATGACGAAACACGCCAAGCATTAATAGATCTGCTGGATCGACCATACTGGTCACGCGTTTGGATCATACAAGAATTCCTCCTGCCCTTCCATTTGAATGTATGGTGGGGCGGGTGTCGTGTCACAGCCAACGACCTCTGTCGGGTGGTTTGGACCATGGCTGGGCTTTCCTTACGTAGCAATCCACGAGACCCTGCTATGTGGGGTACACCTGGGAGAACTCTGTTGCGCTACAGGGTGAACTATCAACGAATGCGCGGTTCTCATGGCGATGCTTCGTCCGAAGCATTTCGGGAGTCGATGAGGTTGCAATCCCTATTACAATCTTTTGCCACCTCTCAGTACACTCTTGTACACGACAGATTGTACGCTCTGCTAGGGATCGCAAGCGATGTTACGGATTCCTCTGCTCCGATCCTACCAGATTACACTAAACAGCCGGTGGAATTGGTACTCGATGTACTGAAAAATCAGTATAGAGATGCAGACCCACTCGATAAGATGATGAGAGCACAGGCATCTTTTCGACATTGTCTAGATCGTTCTTTCATCCGTGCGCTAGATCGCGAGGAATCGAAGGAACGAAAAGATCAGCGAGACTTTCGGAACAGACATATGACAGAGAATGACAGAAGTAGACAAATACGCAATTTCACCGCAAAGCTCTGCCTGACTATGGGAGTAAGCCGTCTGGAGCTGGTGGTTTACATATTCCAAAAGCTCCCAAGGATTGAGCGAGAGATATACGACACATTGTCTGCACATGAGACTATGGAATTGGTTTGGAGACCAAGTATGGTATGGAAGCTTCTCCCGTTTCCTAGCCATGGAGAATCACAATACTCGCCGATGATGAGGGAGTTTTTCGATTTGATCACACAAAGTACGGAATGCCTCGATGCGCTGCAGCGATATCTCACCTCCCGCTGGTCACTTGCATCATATAGGTCTTCCTGCGCGTCTGCAGCCGATGGACTCATCCAAAGCCTTCTCGAATTCAGAAAAATGAACTGCAAGAACAAAGCTCATAGTCTCTGGAGATACTTTGGCATACCCAACATCAGCATAAACGATGGAAATAATAAGCTACTCAACTATATGGCCAAAGGAATGGTGAAGCTACGCGTTGTCGACCCCAAACAGAACACCGCTGCCGAGAAAGCCTCGTCCAAAAGACTCGCGGTTTTCTCCACCGACTTCATGATTGGTATCACTCATACTCCGATACAACAAAGCACAAAGAACGCTCTTTGTGCCATTCCCTGCCCGGACGAGAGACATTTTGGCCCAGTGCTTCTGGTCGAGTGTGAATATGCGAGGTGTTCTGAACGTCCTGCCTCTTCCGCTCGACACTCATGGCGTATAGTGACCACTGGGTTCGCTTGCAATCGACATACAGATATGAAGACGGAGAGTATGAATGGCTTTGAAGGAGAGAAGAAGCTATAACTGGGATTGGATTAAATTACACAAAACGGACATAGCCTCGCATTGCACGGCCGCGACTTTCTGTGCAACACTGCTGGGCACCTACGCTTGCGTACATACTTCCTCAGCTTATTCATAATCCCCAACGAACCCCCCATGCCTACTCCTCCCAAAAAGCGCTTCAATCGCCGCCGTAGCCTGCAACTGCGCATGCGTCTCCTTAACCTTCTCCTTCTCCCGTTCCAACCTCCTCACTTTGTCCTTCTCCCTCTCCAACTCCCATTCCTTCTCTCGGCGTAGCTTTCTGAGTTTCTCATGCTCGATATCACTGTACTTGGCCCGTTCGTAGTCCCTCAACTTCTCCACTCGCTCACGGTCGCGCTCTTTCTCGCGCTCCAAATCATGCAAACGGTCGATGTCTAGGGAGGAGAGTTGATTGGTGAGGTCGTGGACGCTGCGCCATGGGTCTGGTGTAGATGCGCGACCGAGCAGAAGTGGCGAACGGCGACCGAGGGCCAATGGGTGGGCGGAGTAGCTCATGGAGCGCTCGGTGAGCAGCCTGGGCGGTTCATGCGGTAGGAACGTAGACCAGCTGTACCAACCGGCAGCTTTGAGTTCGGCACGAGCTTTGTTGACATCGTTCTCTAATGCTCCACTGGATTCGATAGCATCGAGAAAGCGCATGCGATGGGAGCTCTGCTGACTCTCAAGCTTGATAAGATTGGGCGGTTCAATGGTGGTGAGGCTGATTGACGAAGTGTGGTACTCTGGGTTCGAAGTGTTTGGCGCTCGGACGAGGAACTTTCGTGCCCAGTCCTTGAGATCAGAGTCTGGCTCATAGCCTTTGTAGATCTCGTTGAAGACGGCTACGGGGTCTTCGTTGAGGATGCCATAGGCGTTCATCCGATCGAGAGCATAGCTCTTGCAGTCTTCGAAGCCCATCAATGTACCCAGCTTGGCAAATTTTACGTCAGTCAGAACGCAGGCTTCACTGGCCGTTGCTTGGGGTTTGATGATGGGTGGCCCCCGACGCTCGATGCCCAGACCTGCTGCCGCAGCGGCGAATGGGCGTGGGTCAGGCCGGTAGGAGCCAGTGTGCAGGAACTCCAGGAAGCGGACGAACGTGTCTTCAGAAACTTCCTTGTGTACCTTCAGAAAGCGGCTACCCGCCTTTTCGAATGCTCTCACTACGCTCAAAAACTCCTCAATCTTGTCTCCATCAACAAGGACTGGTTTGTCCTTGTACATGAACTCAACAGACTTTGCAGAAGGTCTAAGGCGTGCGCGGCGTCTCGTCTCGAGCTCATGACGCCGCTCATTGTACGTTTGGACTTCCGGCTCGCGGACGCACTTGGGCTGGTCGAACAGCGGCTTGCAAACCTTCCCATACCACTTCTGCACTTCGCTCTCGGATGGCCCCTGCACGATGCTATGGCAGTGGCTGCAATACCATCGCTCCCGGTCCTCACGCTCAATTACTTCTCTTCTTCTTGGACTGTAGTGTTCCTCGGCAACGTAGCGAACGTTGGAAGAGCCATGCCCATAGTTGAGAGGCGACAACTCTCTTCCGTGCACAGCTGAGAGCTTCTTAATAGTAAACATGATCTTACCGAAATGCACGCCATGATCCAAGCGTCCATAGTCCACCTCGTCTTCTTTCTGTGCGCCGCAAGCGACCAGAAGGTATGCGTGTATCATGTGATGAATCAGAACCGCGACTATGTCTTTCGCCTTGGCGTATTCGAGCGCGTCCAGATTCAAGACGATAGAGATACGCTTGACCTCAGGATTTGGTCCTAGTCTGTGCGTGTAGGTGGCGCCTGAGACGTCGGTACCCAGGGTGTGAAAATCGAGGAAGACTGCATTTTTCAGATGACCGGCAAAGAGTACTTCATCGAGCTTGTTGAAGATACGATATGGGATCTCCTGGACTAGCCCGTCCCTCTCAAGTGTCGCAGCCCGTATCCGAATGTTCTTCAATTTCTCGGCTGCGTCAGCCCAGTTCTGTTCTAGTCGATCAACGATGAATGCGACTGCCCAATCAATGTTCCATCCAAGATTCCTGTCGCACCTCAGGAAGGGATCTTGAAGTCGGACAGCGACGCTCGATAGCGGTGGACGATAATCATTAGGCTCGAAAGGGATGTAGAGATCTGATTCAGAATCAGAGGGGTAGGACCTCGAGCGAGCAAGCGCTGCTCCGCCAAAGAAACGATCACCATACGGCAACAACGCAAATTGATCAGGAGAGCCGAGCGTCATTGAGTAGTGAGAGTGATGTAAAGGTCCGAGAGTCTTGGCAAAAGGACAAAGAATCAAGAATTGATCGAACCTCTGCGGGAGGGTAGTTCCATTGCTGTTTTATAGTTGGGTCGAGCGGGAGGCCGAAGCGGATGATGGCTGCTTCCAGCCGGCGCGACGTAGTCGTTGGCGGCAGCTTCTCCGTTCGGAGAGTCAGCATGGAGCACGAATCCTGGTTGATGC